AGTTGTAATAACAACAATTGGATGGGTTCGTTGAGTTATGAGTGGGACGGCCCAAGCGGCGGACTGACGGGAGGAGGGACGGATCCGGTTGGGTTACCGTGATGGGTTGGGCTAGGGAGTGATCGAGTGGGTGAGATCAATTCCCAGTCATTATGGGTGCCATGCCGTTCAGTATTTTGCGGTTTTACTTATAACTCTATCACTCATTCATTTCATCACATCACATTGAATCTTACCATATCATATCAAAATTGTTTGTCTTTTCAGCATCTTTTATCAGCTTTTCGTCACCTTTACCACGGTACTTAAACAAATAATTTTACCCATCCATATCTTCGCAATCGATCCTCCTCCCTCTCCATGCAGTCCTCCTCATCTCATTCTCGAGTAGTCGTTGATAATATTCCTACAGTAAATCAACAATCGCCATCACCAATCACGTCGAACACTCAAACGAATCACACAAACGATGTTCGTTCTTTTGAAATTTTCATTATAAATATCTTTTAATTTATCAAAAATGAAACCAACAAATGAATTTCATTTGTTAAGGAGAAGAACATATTTCATTGGTTTTTCATTCATCTTAGTGAATAATCATCATTATTAGTGAAAACGTCTCATATTTTAGTATTATTAACAATAACCGGTTATATGTTATCGCATAAAGTTGTTTTATTTTCTTGTACAACAAACACGAACATCTCATACATCCAGCATGCGATTGTTATTCACAAATAAATGTGCGTTCTTTCAAAAAAATGAAGTATTTCTGAAAGTGTCAACTTGTTTCAAGCAACTTCTGTCTTTAATTGACTCAAACTCAAAAAATATACATGTCGTTCTTTAGAAAATGATATTAATGTTGAGCAGTCATTAAGATCCATGCGAAGGAGTGACATGTTACAGATAAAAGAACTCTGTTTAATCGGAATCAAATTTGAGAAAGACGTTATTTTGAAATCGATCATTGCTGTCATTAATAATCTGCTTTATGTAGACTGTTCTCCAGTGTAGAATTCGAGAACTTATGTGTGTATCTCCACATTGCATCAGCTGTTCTCATCGCTGTTTTCTTTTATCGTGTCAAACGACCCAACAAAATCTGCTTCTTTTCTTCATCTCTATGGAGTGAACAACCAGTTTGATGAATCATTCATCTTAGCTTTGCTGTGACTGACACCTTTTCGCACTAATTGCCTACGGTTACTCCTGCAAACTGTTTCGATCACTTGTCAAACAGTATCATTTGGATTACATATATCAGTGGATCAACGCATCGAAGTCATAGGAAGTTTTTGAAAATATTCTCAAATGTTCAATGGAAGAAGATGACATAAAATGTTCATGCAATAATAATGACAGCGTGCACAAAAACATAACTACCCGAAATGTTATATTTGTTGATAAATTGACAATTAAAGAATTTCAGAAAATTTTCGAATGCTTTCGCCACCAAAATAATCGTACCATCGTTTTCAAAATGTACAAAAGATTTGATAAATTTTTCAAAGTGATTAGTTGAAAACTAGAAGCAAAAAAATTGTGTTCAGGATGGGACCTGTTAGATAATAGAAATTGATGTATTAGTTTATGAATTTAAGTGCTCGTTGGAGTCGTATAATGTGCATTTTATGAGAGATCGAGAGAAGGATGAACCTGAAGAATCACGTAGTTGGATTTTTTAGTTTCATCAACAAACTTCAAAATGCGTTCATCATATGTCGATGAATCAGCACATAGAAACGAATGGTGCATTCAATTTAAAATTCACATCTCACAAGTCCGTTTTAATCTCTATCCCATCTTTCTCTCTTATTGTTGCACTCTGTTTCGTTGACAGTATAAATTCCTACACCTGTTCGATTTAAACTCGTGTTATTTTCTTGTCCCATTCAATTATTCCATTCTGTTTGTTTCATCAGCATCAAATTTGCGTTTTTTTAAAAATTCTTCTTCCACAGATTCCAAACTTTCATTTCCAACCTATCGTACCGCGACAGTTCACCGCTTGCGTTGTCTTCTCAATTACCATTTATTGCTGTTTTATCTCACTTGTAAGTACAGATTTTGTGAGTGTTTTAGCGGAATTTCCCTAGTTCGGCTGTTTCTTGAGAAAAATTCATCACTTATCACAATAAATTACGTATCACATTATATCGAAGTCATAATGTGCAGATAAATTTTCAATATTTCAATCAGATTCCAAATGATGACCGCATCATAAGAATATTACCTTATCTTCGGGATACCAGAATTTCCTAACTTAAGCAGTAATATCCTTTCATTTTTGTTTCAAAATTTCCTCTCATAGTTTTAGCCTTAGCACACCGTGCGTTACCTCAATGAAGATATGAAATTTATTGTCGATTGATAGGGTTAGGTCGGAGTCGCAATCAAGCGCGACGACTCCAAGAGATGAGAGGTAGAGTTAGAGGTAGAAGTCTCGTGCATGTTTGAGGGTCGCGAGAGCCACTGACAAATTCTTAAGTTTGAGAAATGAGTGCATAACGATGTGAAATGGAATGTATAGATTAAGAAGTGCAGTTATGACGATAATCAACTGTAATATACCAGTATATCATATACCAGTAATTGATTTTGTGCCTCAGATCGTCAATTATTTTTCAGTAACCATAATGTAATCTTTTTTTTACTGCTCCTCTTTGTAGAAGATTGTGTTAATTATCTTGTTAATTGCATTCAAAATTATCGAGCACTTTGAATTGTTCTGTCGATCAACTGCAGTCAAACCTGAAGCAAGGTTCAATCCATACAAACATAATAGAGCTGAATTATGAAGTAATAATGATGTAGTTATAATATGAATAACAATAATAAATGCTATGATAATAAATAATAATAGTGAATGGTAATTATATCAGAAATCATTCATCTGTAATCTCTTCTATGAGAACGTTGTAGAGTTTCGTTTGATTGCGTATCTATTTTGTACGTGTAAGTAAATTTATTCTGACAATTTTCAATTAGTATTGTTTATTCAGCAGCACTTCAGTTGATCATTGATATACTCCATTCGTTGTTGGATCAGCTTAGGTTGATTGCTGCTTTTTACAATTGTTAATTCAGGTGAATGCTCTGGAATATTCTCATTAATTCACAACTCTTTATTGCACCATTCATATATATATAT